AACTACTTCACAGTTAGGGCGGCTAGGAGCTGGAACCAACTTCCAAGGGAAGTGGTGCTGGCCCCTACCCTGGGGGTCTTTAAGAAGAGGCTGGATGCCTACCTGGCTGGACTCATTTGAGTCCCGTTTCTCTTTTTGGGGTTTTTTGTTGTTCTCCCGCCCTGGCGGGGGGTCGGGCTAGAAGATCTACTAGGTCCCTTCTGACCCTTAGTCTATGAATCTATGAAACTAGCCATAGTTTCCAGATACCCATTTCACCAAGCAAGATGAAGACAGGGCACAGAAGCAGGACTAAGAGGAAAACTCCTTCTGCTAGTCAGACATTTTATCAGGGCTTTTTAAGAATATCCTAGTGGGAGTGCATGGGCAGAAATGGTTTTGCTCAATGGCTGTGGCCAGGGCACAAAGTGGGTAGCCTGCAAAAAACCCTCTCCACCTTTGCTTGCTCAAGACGGCCGTCTTGCATAAGGCATGGAGGTGCTATTCTTCCTGCCACAAGCTTCCCCACCCCAGCCAGCCGTAGCATCCGGCACTGCATGCACTGTGCCCCACGCAGACGGCTTTGCCGGGGCACGACCCCCTCCTTCATTCATGCCCTCAAGTCCGGCTTGAGTCTCCTAAAACTTCCCCAGCCTTTATTAAGTTCACCTCAGCTTTATGGTGGCTTCATACAAGTCCTGAGGATCTGTACATGAAAGGGAACCTTGTTATGCTCTGCAATAAAAGTCTGATCTAACAACACTCTTTGGGGCCATGGTGAATTCTCAACCGTCTGAACCCCTTAAACCCAGAACAGATTCAAAAAGTGTGCTCTAGCTCAACCAAAAATTAAGGACTTTCCAGAGACTACACAGAAGTTCAGACTAGGTGAACACTCGCCGACTGGGAATATTCTGTTTATTCTCTATGAATAAATATTTGCGCAGCAATGTTACTAAAAACTCAAGAATTCCCACCACCGCCCTGCCCCCAATGAAAAAAGACAAGACATTTTTCAAAACACAAGGAGACTTGCCTAAAACTTCATTCTTCTTTCTTAGAGACACGCATCCTATCTTTCTACATCAGGGAAGTCCCTGCTTTAAGAAGACACTTTTGACACAGAAGCCATGAATGCAAGAGAAAGCATTTATAATGAAATACTCCATTTATCTGGGAGTTTCCAAACACAAGCGCCCATTTAAAACCAGGGCTCTTCATCTGCCAGTTCAAAAAGGATTCTTTGTCCTGGGATTACAAGGCAAATTATGGATTTCTTTTTAAACTTAAGGCAACTTCCTGGGTTAGAAACCCACCACCAACAGCAACAGACCAACTCGCATTCAAAGGGGAAGTTTAAAATTGCTTTGCTCCCTTGGGGAATTCTTCCAGGAATATTACGTTAAACATAACCCTTAGCCCAGTACAAGCATGGCCTTTTGCTCAAAAAAGGCTGCTGCTTTGAGTTAGATGAGCTGTACAAGCAGAGCTCTAACAACTCTTCTCTAGGCCGGCATGAGCAAAGAATTTATCCGAGATATGATACAAGACCATGCCGCAGGTCACCCAGTTGACCAGGGATAAATCGAGACCTTCCCGTTACAAAGGGGATTGTACTGGGAGAAGAAGAGAACCGCCTGCACGTATGCACTCAGAAGCAACCAGCTGGAGGAAGGCTAGGTAGCTTTAGACAGGTGCCTGGGAAGAAATTCATCTACGCAGAGATAAGCAGTCCCGGCAGAGAATGACAGCTGCAGCTAGCTCTCAGCACGGACCTGGCCAGAAGACCCTCTTGAGTCTAATCTTCAGTTCACTCACCTTCCCTTTTTGACCAAAGCTGATGCTGAAGACTCACCTCTGGGGCCTCTGAGGATGGATATATGTTTTGAAAAGAGCTCGAGACCCTCTTGAGGCGGTGAGTCCATGCCCTGCACCCCGAGGCTGCCATGGAAGGCAGATCTCATCTGATACAGATGGATAATGCTCACTGGAAATCCTGCCCCGCTGTGCATGCCTAGATGTCCGAGAAAGGAGAAAGTTCCTCTCGCTTCCTTCTTCCAGGGACACGTGCTCAACACAGAGCAGGATTAGGCCCTTCTGCCATAATGGCCTGGAACGGCTCTCGAATAAAGGAATAACCACGATTTCATCCTGTTCACAATCTATTATGCATCAGCCCAGCTGCCCATAGCTGCAGCTAGCTTGCTTCACAATCTGAGGAGCAAAAGGGCCAAACCTGGGCTCACGCCCCTGCCCATCCACCAACATACCCATGCCTTAAGAGCTGTTGTGGGGCAACAGGATGCAGGCCCAAGGCACAACCCAGTTTCATCAGGAGACTTGAGCCCACTCCAAGCAAAGGGATGCCTAGGCTGCTCTATTCGCAGAAACCTGATGAGAGGCTTGCAGAGCTTGGGGTTACCGTGTACAGAACAAGGAGCAAAACTCCTCCACCTCTCCCCAGGGACAGGGGCTGGATGCTTTAAGTGTCAGGACACTCTGGCTGGCTGCTTTTCCCTGTAAAGGATCCTTCTCTCCCAGAAAGATTCCCCAGCTCCTCAACCATCTCTTGGCTCACTTCCACATCAAAATCAGGCAGCCGGGAGTCATTGACAGTGGATCATCTTGGTCCCCTGAACTTGAGGAATCTGCACTGCACTAAAGCAGAAGAGGATGTTAGGTGGACTTCTTACTAGCTCATCAGGCCAAAGGCATTTATTTTTTGCCAGGCCATGAACAAAGAAGTGATGACATGGTTTGCACCTCAAGAGGTGCCGCTATAAAGCCAGCTTCTACAGAACCAGATCCAGGGAGTGCTACGTCCTGTGAAAAGCTGGCTGGAGGTGAATGCGAATCCCACGTAGGGGTGCACATCCAGGCTCAAAGTTAGCCAACACTGGCAGCCGAACACAACCGTACTAGGCTGCCAAGCTGGTGGGTCAGTATGAACATCCCACTCTTCGTGGGCCAGCGAAGGACCACCGTGCCTGCCAGTGCATCTAGCCGTTCTCTCATGCAGAGCTCAAGCACTTACAGCTGGCTTTCATAGCAAACTTCTCCCCCCTGCCCCTTCTCAGTGCTCAGCAGGCTGCATAACCCACCCACCCCTCGCTGCAGACTGAGATGCCACCGTGCACCAAAAGCCAAATTTCAAGTGACTCGAGTGTAAGGCAACACCTGCAACATGGAAGTCTACGGGCCTCATCTTCGACTGCTGGAAGTCTGGTAGGACTCAATGCACCTTTACATCAGCTGACAGCAGCTGAAGAGTTGGCCTGTTCCCAGAAAAAACGGAGACTCCCCCCACCTCCCTCCCAACTGCAGCACAGGAACACAATTCAGTCCTTCCATCACGGATCAACGATCCCTTCAGCCTTACCTTGATTGAGGTAGGTCAAGGTTTCTTCGTGCAGCTTCACGGCAGGGGATGTAGCTGTACAAAGAACATACTGAAATGGAGGCAGTTTGGTTTCATTCTCAGGAGACAACTGAGGTTCCTCCTGCTTGAAGATCGGCAGCGCCAAGACATCGCTGAAACATAACCAGCAACACACGCTTAGTAACAGCATCCAAAGAGGGACACATGGTCAGAGTCCAAATGTGAACAATTCTCTCGCACCAGATTTAAGGAGCAATGAGTGACATGTGCCAAGAGGTGAAAAAGGAGCCGGGGTCAGAAAACGACTACAAACGCACTTGCCCTGCATTTTAATGCTAGCCAGCATTAGTAAAATGGAAGATCACCAACCACCTATTGACTTGGCAAACACCAGGTCTGGTGAGTGTGTGGACCCACAATGCCACCTCTTCCCAGTGAGAAATTAAATAATAAAAACCTCTTCAAACGTTTGGGTTCACATCTAAAAGAAAGAAATGAAGGCTTTCCTTTTTTTTTTTAAATAGTTAAACCAACGTTGAACATAAGTCGTAATGAGCTCTCTTCCAAACACCGGATTATGTTTTTACTAAAACTAAGTAAAATTGGCCACATTTCTAAGTTCATTCTATTAGCTCACCACCCGTGTCCGCAACACCTAATCCTCCCTCAACAAAGCAAATATCCATTTGCCTTTCCTCGCCATGACCAAGGTCGTAGGCTCCTAGCCATACCCTTGCACCAATCTGAATACCCTTCCTGGAAACCACTGCCAGCATCCAGAACCAACAAGCTCGCTCTGAGCTTGTCACTCCCCGCCCCAAAATTAAGCTCTATATCTAATAGTGCATCTGCCCAGGTCATTTCAATCTAGCCAAGGTAAGTTAAGATGTGGCAGCTTAACCAATGTTGGGTCCTTGGGAGGGACCCCCACTATACCCATCACTATGCTTTGAAGGCAATTGGGTCATGTGTGCCTCATCATCCCAAGCCGAACAGGATTTGACCCCCACATCAGGCAGGGCCAGGACTTCAGGTCAAAATGCCATAGCCCGTTGCAGGTTTCGGCCCATAATGGAGTAGCCGGCCACCACACCCCGGCTTTCCCCAAACAGAACCGCCTTTTGCCCTAGCCCTTCTCTTGTACTAAATTAAACCCCTGCAACATTTTGACAGATTTTCTAGACAGCCCTCAGATGCACACACCCAGCTGCCAGGGCTGCTGCGATAGACCCAGCTCTGACCCCCTTGCACTTAAACGATATCCATCATGACCTACAGCAAGGGTGGGTAATTATTTGGGCTGGAAGGCTGCTTAAGGAGTTTTGGTGAGCCGTGGCGGGGCAGGGTGGGGTGCAGCCTAGGGGGTGATGCTGACCCAGGGCATGGGGGGGCAATTGATCCGATCCACCCCAGATCCCATCCACACCCAGAGGCACCAGACAGAGCAGGTGGCCAGGTGGGGTCTTCACATAGAGACCAGCCCAGGACCCCTGCGGGCATGGGATAGGGCCATGGGTGGGTGGGGACCCACTCCCCACATCGTGGTTCCTCTGCTGTCACTGCCCCACGATCCCGGCTCTGTCTCTGCCTGCTCAGCCTGCTCCCAGGAGCTACTCCCCACAGTCCCATCCCAGCTGCTTGCAGGGGTCCCGGGCCAGTCTCCACGAAGAGCCCACCTACCAACCCGCGCCATCCAGCGCCCCCAGGCCAGGGTGCCTGGGCAGCAGAGCCAGGTCCGGCGGCAGTGGGGACACTGGTAGTAACAGCCACAGAGAGCCGACACCAGCAAGGATGCCAGGAAGCCCCAGCTGCCGTGCCACCCCGGCCCCGCCGTGCGCCCGGGGGCGGTGGTAGTGGCCGCACGCACCACGGCCCGGGCTGAGGGACCCTCTGCGGCCTGGATAACATCCTTTGGCAGGCCACATCCCATGGGCTGTCTTTCGCCTCCCCCCGATCTACAAAAGGAGGGGTCAGAACAAAATCATTTATAGTCAAGCATGAGAGTAAGGAACGAGACACCGGTGCCAGCAGCCCTATTATTCTCTGCCGTAGGATAAGAAGCAACATTAGGTTTCCTCCCTTCTCTGACACCGAACTCTGCTCCATGCATGGTGTCCTACACGCTTGTGTGTTTAATGCAGGAATCCCCCCGATCAGACCGATGCCAGCATTGAGCCAAGACTACCTGCTGCCTCTGAATGGAGGGCTAGGCTACTCTTTTCTAGGTACCTCTTTTCTCCAGGCTTGTTCCTCCCCCATTTATGGGGGCAGCAGCTCCCGAGGACCTATGTGTGTATAAAGGAGCAGCAAAAACTAGCTGCAAAGAAACACAGAAATGGGGAAATGTGTGTTGGCATGCTTGCTAGGAAGAGCATGAAGAAGTTTGCCTTGCTTGGGTGGGATCCACTTGGTGTTAGCTCTAAAACACCCAGCACCTGCAACCTTGGGGAGCTTTCTCCAGGCCATTAAATAAAATGGTACAGGAGTTGACAGTAAAAACTTTAATGTTCCTGGTTCAAAAAAACAGTCACTCTTATTTATGAAGAAACAAAGTCACAGGCAGATCAGACAATGAGAGACAGCGGCGGAAAGAAGTAACAAGGTTTTTCCAAAGGGTTATAACCAATATTAAAATATTCAGTCCCTTTTCTTTTGCTGGTACTGCGAGCTCCAAAACATCTGCTTGTCCCAACACATCTTTTCTTCTCGTTGGAGGTTGATCTAGTATAGCAGCGACAGTAACTAAATCCCTGCAGACAGGTTTCCAGTCTAGAGACCCTTTCTTCTATAAAGACCTGTCTGGCTTTACAAATTGGTATGGGAATCTTTTCACTCACCTGGGGAACTGTGGACTTGGGCACTTATCGGCACAGGACCACCAAAAAGCAGGCTGCTTTACAGCAAAGCAAACCCCATTCAAAAGGGAGCCCAGTCCCAGAGCCCAGGGCTGTAAAGCAGAGCTTCTCCCCCAGGTGCCACTGCAGGGTGCAATATTAGCACAGTGAGATGTGCAACATCTACACCCAATTCACAAGAGATGTCAAATCAGTGTCCAAACCATTCTGACTTATTGCAGTCTTTGAATTTTTTTGCATCAGAAAAAAAACACGAAAGCAAGCCAAGAGGTGCCTCGAGTCGCTGCTGTCAGCACGTGCAGAGCCAATGTTTGAAGCTATGTGCAAGCACTTTGTACCTTATCTGGTCAAAATAAAAGGGAAGTGCCTAAATGCCAAATGCCACTTTCCAACTGAAAGCAGCGATTAAAGAGGTTTTGTTTGTTTGTTTTTTGCAAAAATCTGGTTGGTCTAATAGAAGATATCACCTCTCCCAGCATTTGGAGTCCTTTTGCCTCCAGACCAATATAGCTACAACCTGGATACCTGACACTTTCCAGCTGAACCATCTGAAGGAGGTGCTGCGTGATCGCCTGTGACCACGCTCTCTTAACATCACCTGAAATAGTCCCGGTCTGGACAATGCGAAATAACGGCACAACTGCACGAAAAAAGGCAACTCATTCGTAGTCCCAATCCACAGCCACTGGGCTCTCGGGACTCTGGCTCAGACCCACAGAAACGTGGTCTCTTATTAGCGTTTGCAGCACTCGCACAGCCGGCATGGAGACCTGGTGTTCGTACAAAGCCGAAGACTACGAGATCATAAGCTGTGGGTATATACTTTTAGACATTGCAAGCATTGTGCAAATTTGATTTTCAAGGCTCTCGCAATGTGTAGTTTGGGAAGTTTTCCTTGAAGTTCTCTAATAGCCCCCAAATTAACTCACGCAGAACTTTTCCTTTTTTTATTTAAGGGAGAGCAATTCACCTTTACACTAAAGTTTCGCACAATCGGTCTCTGACTAAGGGTGAATCCGGTCCCCTTTTCATCAGGGAATAAAGAAGCCCGAAGCCAGCGATCTCCCCAGCTGGAAAACGAAGGAGAGTGAAACCCTCTGGTCTCATAGAGAAGAGTCAAGGCTTGTTCCTCCCCAAACTCAAAAGGTCCCAGTGGAAAAAAAAAAAACGCACTCACACCAATGCAAACGCCCGGGGCGGACACGAACCAGGGATCGGCACGAAGCTGCCAGGCAGGGTCACTGCCAAGCCCAACCGCGCTGCACCTCCCCGATGGGTTTGGGCCTCTTTAGTGTAGACGCGCCTCGCGTCCCCGTTCAGCAGGAACGAGCATCGTTGCCTGTCCCGGCGCAAAAGGCGGGTTTTCTCGGACAGGGCAAGATTGCAGCTGCGCCCCCCTCCCGGAAAGAGAGGACCAGGCTTCAGCACCACGGCAGCGATTAAACACGGACAGCCGCTTCAGCCGCCCGGCACCTTCTCGGCAACGGTGCCCAAAACACCTGCTGGCGCCCAGGCCCGGCGGGCACCATCCTACGAGGGGGCATTGCCCGCCTCAGCCCCCGGGGATCAGGCAGCCCGCAGCCTCCGTGCAGGAGACGGGGGAGAGGCCCGCCCGCTTGCTACGTGAGGAGAAACCCTTCCCTGGGCCCGCCCGCCCGCTCACCGCAGGTAGCCGCCGCTCGGGTGCTGGTTGTAGTGCTCGGGCTGCGTGTGCCAGAACAGCATCTTGCCGCGCCCGCCCGCGCGCCCGCGCCGCCGCCTTTATCCCGCTTC